GGCTTAGACTTGGATGTTCTGGTAGAGATCCTTTCAAATACTGAGACCCTCTGTGGAGCGGTCTTATGGTAGCTACACACTGATAATACTGCCCTGATAAGTTTGGTACACGGATAGTAAGAGTTCGCTTCCCGGATACTTCTCTTTCGAGATTTATTCGTACCCCCAACCCGATAGTACAACTCATCGACGTTGCGGTCAGAGCAACCTATCGGTTGTTGGTTTGATTCCTCAGGTGTACCGTTGTTGTTTGTTCGGCACGTCTTCTTCTGAATAGGTAGTGCTTTATTGGCTTTAGCAGGAGTCACACGTTTGGAATCATATCCGTGTGAGGGTGAAATTTTAACGGGCTTCTGGTTTTGTGCAGGCACCCCCACGCGGGTAGTTATGGGAGTCAACTTGTTAGGAGGTCGCGTACGACCCCCAATCTGGATGGTTGCTTGGGGTTCCTTCAACGGTCCCAAGCGTTCCTTAACAGGCGCTTTGCCTTGATCTTCGTATAAAGGACCTAGTCGATCCTTCAACGGAATTCTAAATTTGTAGAGGTCCACGTTGCCGTAGGGTTTCACCGAAGGTGTGGTGGCAGAAGGAGCGGGATCCGAAGTTGACGAAGGCTGGGGAGCAATGTCGCTTGCTTTTACCTTAGGCGTTGATTTGGCCTTTGGCATCCAAATTTGTTTGGATCTCGGCGATCTCTTAACCGCCTCTTCCTTTTGCATTTCTTGTGCTTTTCACACAAGGATCTAGGCATGCGTAAGAAGTGCGCGACGCTTCTGAATACGCTCCTCAAGAGTGAAACGGTTTCGTTTGACACGAACCCATTCGTTAGTAGGTGGTTAGGAGGAGATTCCCGAAGCTTGCTGTGGATATGGCTTAGCCACTTGACGCTTTCTGAACTCCAAATCCGTTTGGTAACAGAGTATGTCCACCTGATACAAAGCCTTGGCGAATTGGCGCACGAGGCATTAGCGTTGCCTTTGACGTGTTCTCCTTGATAGAGTCGGCGCGCCTTTAGCAGTTATTTCCTTGATCACGGAGGAGTTCAGATCTGCATATCTTATCTCGTTGGACGCCGACGGATCATTGTGAGGTACGGTTGCAGCAACGGTAGCGAGGAATTCGCCTTCTTGAGTCTTCAGATCTGAAGACCAACGGATCTTTCGGGTGAAGGAGACCTTCCTGCGCTTGCGAGGAGAGGCAGATCTGGAGGAGGAGGAGGAGGAGACGTACTCCTCGAACTTTTGTTGGTCGAACTTGTATTGGACCTCTTCAGCCATGAGGATCTTGGTCGTCGGCTGCGGCACGACAGCCTCGTTGACGAGACTGTTGGCTCCCACTGTGGTCGCCAGCTTGTTTGGGGAGAAATCGATTTGTTTATTGAGATAATCATTACAACTTCAGTCGTTACAATGAAAATACAAAAAAGATAGTCTTTTTATAAGACTCTTACACAATAAAAATACAATTCTCGTCAAAACAAATGTAGAGATCGTTTATCGGTCTTCTGCTTGCGCGGGATCTTGGCCTGTGATGGAGACATTGATATCCGTGGACCACCAAACGATCAGATCAGATCCGGAGCTTCGTTGATTCACGAAGGAATCAAGAAATCGAAGCAATTATCTCGGTAACAGCTTCTTGAGATCACCGCAACGGGGCAATCTCAAGGAAAAGAACCAGGGTACAGATCTATCAAACTCTCCTTCTTTATGCCGAAGAATTCACTGAAGTCTCCTCCTCCTCTCTGAAATTCGTGGCTCTTCAGTCTCTAATTCAGTAGGGCTTCGTCAACGCTCGAGAATTCCAGATCTAAAAAAATAAAGCCCCTGGGGTTGTATTTATAGGCTTCAGGAACTCTGTGTTCAGATAAGAACGATCGATTCATTCTTATCTTCAATTATAACCACTTAACCACGTTCTTGGATGATATTCTATCAGTTAAAACAAATCCAGACGGTTAACGATCGAAAAACAACTTTAAAGTGTAAAAATTCAGTTTTTTCGGGTCTGCGGACACCCGTGGGTGTCTCGGCCAAGCTTGGGCTGAGACACCTCTTGGTCTCTCGGCCAAGACTTGGCCGAGACACTCATGGGTGTCTCAGCAAGCCTTGGCCGAGACACCACTTGGTGTCTCAGCCAACTTTGGCCTGAACTTCGATTCGCGCGTTCTGTCCGTTTCCTTCGTATCTTCATCATCCGAACTCGAAATTGTGTTGTTCAAAATGCGTTGGAAAGCTAATGAGGATATCTACAAGCTTCCATGATTGAATCATATGTGAAATAAATGGGATACAAGGGGCGCTTCGCCTTTCGTAAGCCACGCGGGGCTCCCGTTCAGTTCGTGTTTCCATTATTCCGAAGTTTCGTTGCTTTGTATGGTCCGTCGACTCACTTCGTGCGTTTGTCGTCATCACATGAGCTTATGTGACTCGAATTACGACGTTCATCGTCTTCTCTCTGTCTCGAGCCGCGTGTGGGGACCACTAACCTCCTCTCCAAACTCCTAAATTTTACCACTAGACTAAGTAGCCCAAAGTATTCATGTATTCATGTCATTCAATATATGTATATGTATATATATATATATATATACACACACATATACATATATTATCCATAAACAAATTGTAAATACTTATAGTAATTACATAAAAATATATAAAAAAATATAATATATATATATATATATATATATATAATATATAAATATATATATATATATATTATATATATATATATATTATTTAAATTATTATATATATATATAATATATATATAATAATATATATATATATAATAATATTACACACACATATAAGTATATTTATTTAAGAGTAATAAATATTATATTACACATATATTATTATACATATATAAGAGAGAGTATACTATATACTAAGAGAGAGAGTATATATATATATATATATATTATTATAACATAAAATAAAAAAATTACGTATTTCCGGGCCCTGCCGGGCGCCGACGATAACGAGAACGCGGTCGGCGCCGGGAGTCCCGGCCGGGTTTCCGGGCCCGCGAGCGCTGGGCCGACGGCTTTTTGACAACCTCAATTACTATTTCGGGCCGGGCCGGGCGCCGACGATTCGAACCGAGGTCGGGGGGGGGTGGGGGGGGGGGGGGGGGGGGGGGGCCGGGGATCCGGCCCGGGTTTCCGGGCCCGGCGAGGCCTGGGCCGACGGGCTTTTTGGACAACCCTACTGTTTGGTTCATGGATTGTTTTTTATGCATATCATGTATCTAGAAAAATTCATACTGAAAATCATGTTTGTTTTACAATGGATGTTAAATTATATTTGTATAAGAAATAAAATCCAATCAAATATTGTTTGGTTGCACATGCATTTTGTTAATGATATCTGACTATAATCACAAATGCCAGTGAAATCAACATAATTTTTAGGGATCACAATGGATGCATCTATCTTACAAGTCAACCTCATATTGGAGGCATGAAAAATAACAAACAAACATTGTATTTAATGACAAGCTAGGATTCTAAGCTTGTGGATCTCACTTTTCAATGCAAAACACACAAAATACATGAAAACAACAGCCCGAATAGAGTCAACCTGGTATTTACTGTTTCAAGGGGTTGCCTGTTTCCATAGAGAAATGATTTGGTATGACAAATAATTTTTGATGAGAATGATTAGACGTACAAAAGAACGCTGCTACAGGGACCAAAAATATGGGACCATTAGAGGGTACATGTGAGATGTTCCCCTCCTATTGCATAATGAGCTGACATGACTAGCTCATTATGCAATAGGGATGACACACCTTAAAATTTTCAGGGTCAAATTAGCACAGAGCTATACTTTGGTCATGTGTGTCAAAATTTTCAGAATACCGAAAATACCCTCAATATTTATTTCAGTTCTTCATCTCAGGGTCAAATTAGGACAGAGCAAAGAAATGACAAAATATCTTCAGAAAGTCCCACCTTGCACTGTTTACAAAAAAACCACACTACCTAATAGCTCTATTTGATAAAAAACATCCTAGCTAAATTTGGCTCTAAAAACCCACATTCCATTAAAAAATCCTAGCTAAATCTTTTTGTTGTCTGAATTTGTCAACAAAATGTGGTAAAAATATCACGTCCCACTCCAAGGATCTTAAATATCCTGCACCTCCTTAGCCTCGCGTGAACTGCTTTGAGAGAGATGGTGTTTTTCTTCCCTTTGCTCAAAATCCATGAGCTATGAGCATAATTGTTCATTTTTTCATATTTGTTGTTGGTTAGAAGTCTATTATTTTTTCCATGCTTGTTCCTAAATTAGAGTGTACCCAAGTAATTCTTCTTAAAAAATTTTATCATGCCGGATAACAATACACGCTCTCTTTCTCTCCTGTTTCTCGCGCAATAGACTCAAGTTTTGCAAGTCACACTTGGCCGCACATGCTCCCTTATCAAAGTCAAAATTTTAATGCAAAGATGCATGGTTGGGATCATGCATTGAGTCAAATGGGCGTTATGACCCCAAACAATTTTTGGGTTTGGTTTGACATGCAATGCTAGTCTTCAATCATCGCATGCGTCATTCGACATCACAACCATATAATACTGCATCAGTTTTAAGCTAAATTACCAGATTGGTGTTAATTATGTACGCTCTTACTAGTTTCATATATATATTTTTTTCTAATCTTGATGACGAATTTGGTATTTCTTCTGAATCAAATACGTAATTAGACCCACAACTTCACTATCAAGTGAAAAAACAAAGCGGTGAAATTCTTATGATCCACATTATGTTACCTAAGGCAGACCTCAATGAAATGTACATTTCTATGAGCATATGTATAGTCAAATACATATGTTTATATGATTAGGACAGTTTAACACCACATATACATGTACAAATTCAACAATAACAGAGAAATACCCATACTCACTTTGTGAGCATCTTAAAGGACCAAGGGCTGAATTTTTACTACCCAGAAAATTATAAAAGTCATCCTAATACCACACAATGTGAATGCAACTTTCATCTCATAAATTTGCAAGATACATCCACTCAGACCATGACAGCCCAAATCATTCCACTTCATAAAGAAGGGAAAATAAATTTATTTATATGAAGATTGCAAGAAACCCCAAAGACACCCACAATTATTTCCATCCAAAATAAAGGAAAGTGGAGACGTTGCAGGGGCAAAATAATATGACAAGTCCAAAGCTGATATTTATACAAAATCAGCTTAATTTCAGGTTGTAGCATTTGATAATTTGCAGCTACAAAAAATAATATGAAGTCCTGCCAGTGATATAGATTTGTATTAAGCTGTTGCTGCCATCGGCACTGCTCTGTAGCATGACCTTTTTGCTGCCCGAACAATATCATCAACCTACATGAACCATTTCCGCTATCTTAGTTATTACCCAAAAAAATGTTACTCTCATCAATAAGCACATCTATAACTTGTTGTTAGTTCATTACACGATCATGAAATATAATTTAGTGTTATGCACATTTTCTAGGTCGCATATATAAATCCCTTTCTTCCACTGAGCCCAGCTAAGAGTAAACACCACATACACTATGGTTGCCTCCATTCAATTACAAGACTTACAAGCATTTTCCCCCTTTGATCATGAACAAAGTTTTCCTGAACTGCATTGTCTTGATTCAAGATTTACACTAAATAGTGAAAAAAGCATGGCGAGATATTTCTGGACCATCAAGTAAAACTTTCTCATTTCGTTTTCTCCTCACATTTGTGATAAGTTTACATTTTAAAATTTTTTATTTTCACTCCAAAGTTACATGTACTTATCCACATTAAAATTCAAGAGGGTCTAGCTAAGTTGGTAAGCTGCCTCCATGAGTAGTACTCTTAAGGTGTACTCTAAGGTCTCAGGTTCAACTCTCCCGGGGAGCACCAACAGGAATTTAATTTTTTAGAATACCCGAGGCCGTGTGTAGGAGGGTGGCCCATTTAGCCACACCCAAGTGTTTGATACGCGTGGTCCGAAGGATCATGGGGAAGTTTCAAAAGAAAAAAAAGTCACGTCAAAGAGAAGCATTTCTCCACTTTGAGCATAGTTCTATCTTGATTAGAGTTTGATTCTAAATAGCAAAAAATAACACTCCAGGATGTTTCTTGATCACCAATTTGTACATGCTCATTTCTTCTCGCAGTTCGGCTAAAGTTACATATATTAAATTTCATTTTTCTTCTTTTAAGTTGGATGTGATGTGACTATTCAGTACATGAAAAAACAAGCATTTCTCCAGTTTGATCACCAATAAAAATTTCCTCAAGATCAACACTAAATATTAAAAAAATAGCACTCAAGATGTTCTATTAAGAACATCTATCGTTTTTAATTCATTACGTAAGCATAAAGCCACAAATCCCCATCCCACACTTATTCAGGTCACCTATAGAAATTGACGTCTTCCAATGAACCGTTTAGGAATCATCTTTGCATCAAGTTGGTCACTATCATATGCATCTTTACTGCCTCCATCAGGTTTAAAACTTAAAAACATTTCTTCACAGAATCATCTCACTTGAGCCAAGTTTTTGCTCAATGTCACTACCTTGATTAATGATATATACTAAATAGTCAAAATAACTGAAACCATCAGTTTGTACTACAATAACCATTTCTTCTCACAATTGTGCTAAAGTTAATTGTTAATATTTCATAAATTCCATTTTTGTTCTACTAAAGTAATACATAATTATTCATCACATGTAAAAGATAATTTTCAGCTCCTTTATAAGCACAAAACCAAATAGTTATCTGATATAATTTTGTCATGAACTTTCATAAGACAGCAACTTTATGTTATATCAATGTGTAAATAAACCAAAAGTCTTTTGTCATCCAACGTGGCAATAAGTAACTTAAAGAAGTATAAAGGCAGAGAGCATGACTCACCTGGGGAACAGCTAACCTCTCAAGGTTCGCAGCATAAGGCATGGGAACATCAGCCCCAGCTATCCTCTCCACAGGAGCATCAAGGTATCCAAAACTCTCTTCAATCACAGAAGTGCTGTTTATCAAATAACGATTTCATATTTCAGATTAAATGCTAAAAATAAAAGGGGAAAAAACATAATTTTTTTAATTTATATCCCTCAAAGAAACTAACCAGATTTCAGCACCGACACCATGCTGTGGAAAGCCTTCTTCAACAGTCACCAATCTGTTGGTTTTCCTAACAGAAGCGTTGATTGTGGCTCTATCCAATGGTCTTATGGATCGAAGATTTATGACCTATAGGTTTTCAAGGGGTAAGTTTAGAGTCTGATTCCAAGATAACAGCAGTGAATGATATTTTTCGAAAGAGTCAACATTTACCTCAGCACTAATTCCTTCCTTTAGAAGTATATCTGCAGCCTGAACACAATCCACAAGAGAAATAAAAATAAAAATAAAATAAAATAAAATAAAGCAAGTAGCCAATATATTTGAAGTAAAAAAAAGAATAATACGAGCAAAGCTTTTCAAAACACTATGTTTTAGTTTAGGTTGCATGAATCATTCTCATCATAAATAACCATGAAGTTCAATCTTTTACAAAGCAGTTTGGTTCAGTTTAAGCGTACTGCATTCATTCAACTAATTGCTCTTGACAAACCAGATAATTTTGCTTATGTATGGTTCTACAGTTTCGACCTTCTAGGTCATGTATAAACGTCAAATATCCTGAACAGTTCTCTATACCACACGGAAGGTAGTTGCATGGCTAGCTATGTCTCAATGATTGTGGTACCAACAAAATGGCACCGCATGTCTTTCTATGTCTCAGGTCATCATGCCTCCACACATATGAAAACACCCTGTTCTTGGTTCACAAACATTGCCCTCGAAGTCACAGTAACATGATGGTCATTCATAACATATTAAAAAAACAACAGACTGCTGAAGAATACAATGCACCAAACAGCTTGTCCAATGGTTTATATCCAGAGAACTGTGAACTCAAAGTAAATAAGAAAAAGCACAAAATCGAGACACTGCCACAAGATGTAGAAATTTGGGACCAAGAATCAAAAGGACATTCAATTTTTTATCAGTGGATAACAACATTTTAGACTGCCATTAGGGCAAACAATGAATGCACAACTGCCAGATATGTGAGACTAAAAGCTCTAGATTAAACTGCATAAACATGAATAGTAAATTCCAAATTTAACATAACAAACGTAGAAATCTTAAGACAACATAAATAGGCATGATGAACTATTTTGCATTCAATTATCAATCAGAATTGAACTGTCCAAAGAGTTTTTCCTTAGCCAGCAGAGAGCAACTCTAAATATTGCAAGTTTGCAACCAAAGACAAGATGATGCATATTTGAAATTATTGCAAGTTTGCGATGTCTATCAGATAATCTTTTAATTTAATAGATTATCTTTTAATTTAATACGCACCTGGAGAGCAAACCCAACCATCCTTGAGAAAGCAGTGATTGTAACGTCCTTCCCTTCACGCTCTATCTGTCAGGTAAGATTGTTAGATATAGGACACAAAAAGTAACACATTTAATGAACATTGAAAAGCATACCTTAGCTTTTCCTATTGGAAGACAGAAGCTGGAATCAAGAACTTCTGCTGACACAGGAAAAGATTCTCCGTATCTGAGAAACATAAAATGTAAATACAAGGCCTTGTCACCAAATATTATTTATTCTTTAACCACGTTGGAAATTACATACAGAAGTTCATTTTCAAGAAAAACAACAGGATCAGGGTCCCGAATGGCAGATTTGAGTAAGCCCCGAGCATCTTCTGATGAATAAGGGCTTAGTACTTTCAGTCCAGGGCAAGATGCATACCAAGCTGCATAACACTGCAAATAAATTCTTCATAAGCACTTCTCCGATGTCACTTCTAAATTTCTAGTTAAGTAAAGAGGCTGTAAAGGTAGGAACATAAAGTGATATAGAGTGAAAGCAAAGTTGAAAAAAGTTAAACAAGGAAAACCAAGTACATGTATTATGGATTAGAAAGGATCCTTTTGAGGATTACTAGCAATTGTTACTGATTATGAAGATGATAACAAAGAAAGATGGAATCTAACTTACAAATCCAAATTCAAGGAAATAGCACGTACCTGTGAATGTTGAGCTCCAACACCAGCAGCAGCACCATTGGGTCCTCTGAAAACAATAGGAACAGATAGTTGACCTGCTGACATGTAGTTCGATTTTGCAGCAGAATTGATAATATGATCAATTGCCTGTAATGTATTGGACAAATGGCTCAATCTTTAGAATAAATACACAACTCAGTTAGGGGGAAAGAGCTACACAGGGTATCTGATCTATATAAATAACCATGATAACCACATGAACGTGTCAATAATAAATATTTTATTCATATGATCACGAACTTTGTAAATCCTGATAATATCCAATAGAAATAGTGAGCAACTTACAAAATCCTAAACATCTATCGGTACCAGAAACACATAGAGCTAAATGCATAGATGTCTGCAAGACAAACAGGGCATGTACAATCTCAATAAATAAATATGAGACACACGAATATAGTCAACAACAAAAGTTTTGTTTCCACATTTATGAACTTTGTGAAGGAGCGGATGCATGGATGTGCACAAGACAGATAAATTAAAGAAAAAATGAACTCACAAAGCCACATGCAGATGTCGTATGACATATAGAAAATAAAAAATTATTTCTTATTCATTTTTGTAACATAGTGATTTACACATATTAAATTTTGGTGGAAAATTCCAATAATTGTTTCTTCTTCATTTTTGTAACACAGTGATTTCTACACACAAATTTGGTAGCCACTGCACCAGAAAATAACCGGCACTTTAGATAAAAAATGAGATGGGGATTCCATGTAAGAATCATAATTCTTGTACGGAAATCGATATAGAAAACCAGTTGCAAACTAACCTGCATAGAGAAGTTAAAAGTCATAAATTCAATGACAGGTCGAAGACCATAATAAGCTGATCCCACTCCAATTCCGGTAAATCCAGCCTGCGAGGTTAGAGAACATGCATATGATTAGCATCAGCAAGAAACGGAAAAGCAACTGGCAAGAATTAAAAGATGAATCAAAGAAGTATGAGTCTTTCTAAGCAGACGTTAAATTTAAACTACTTTGTGCCATTAAGTAACCTCAGTGATTGGTGTGTCAACAACTCTTTCAGGACCATATTTATCAAGCAACCCCTTGGAGATCTACAAAAATAAGTAAGAGTTAGTTAATATAGAAAAAGAAATGTTATTATAAAAAAATTGCAACAAAAATATAACTTTCATGAGAGCTAACCTTGTATGCACCTTGGTACTCTCCAACCTGCATAAACACCGAGTTCATCAGAACAAGAAGTGCAAAAGAAGAAAGATTTTAAAGTTTATCCAGCTTCAGTTACCTCTTCACCCATTAAGAAAACCTTCGGGTCAGCAGACATTTCCTCATCAAGTGCAGAGTTCAAAGCATCACGCACCGTCATCTAGCAGAACAAGCATTTCCGCAAGTCAGTTAGCACACAATTTGACACGGCCTATGGAAAATTTTTATACGAAGGAATGTAGAGATCATTGGCAAAGTTCAAAAGGATTGGAAACAGATGCACACAACAAGGCATGGAAAGTAAAATTGAAAATTCACAAGAAACAAGCTCCATCTGAGAAGAAGAATAAAAAAGAATCAGAGAGATCTTGTGATTCAAATGGCAAAAAGCTAAAAGGCAAGTGTTTTCTTTTGTTTTTGCTCGTGTATGTGTGTTTTTGGGTTGTTGGGGGGAGGGGTGAAGAGCAAGGTTATTGGTAGCGGATAGCGTCGCGTAACGATGAGGCATCGCGGCTATTGTGGTAAAATAGCGGCAAAAAGCACAAAGTCAAATAGCCGTCTAATTTAGATATGTATAAATATTCAAAAAAATTTAAAGAAAAATCTAGAAAATCTAAAAGTGCATATTTGATTATTTAAAAATATCCTAAACATGAAATTAGACATGTGACCGTCACATAATATCGAAGACAACTGGAGGAGGAGTCAAAGAGTCGTTGTCTTTGAGAAGATCAGCTAAGCGGTAACAAGACTGTAGTAAGAGGAGCTCCCGGCGAGAGGAGGTGAGAGGAAGTGCTGAGGGAGGTGCCGGAGACTATGAGAGGCGGCGGGAATACGCCGGAAATCGCGAGAGGCGGTGGGATGCAGTGGTTACGGGTCGGGTTTAATTTTAAAAAAATAAACCTCAAACCGCTTTTAAATAGAGGTCAAAAAGCGAAGTTTTCCCGCAATCGCCCACTATTCACCGTTATGACGTGCTATTGGCTACTTTTGCGAACAGAAAGCACATATTCCGCAATATGTCATCGCTATTAGGAAAAAGCGTAGCGAGAAGGGACCGCTAACGCTATTAGCACCGCTATTACGGAGCTATTTACCGCTATCTATAACAGTGGTGGAGAGTATAGCCTCAAAACAAGCAAGACTCTCAAACCCTATCCTACCGATCCAGTAATGGGATTTCCAATATTTACTAGCCACGTTATGTTATCCTAATTTTTCATGGCAATTATTTTACCCGAGATTCAACAAGCTAGCAATTGTATTGACAAACTTCAAATAACAGTTATTCCAAGCTTCAACTTATAAGCATAAATGACGTATATCTTAAAGCTATGAAGTTCATTCACTCATCAAGTTCTATAAAATCCGATATAAATTTCTGAAGTCCATTTCCTCACAGTAGACAGTAGCCATGCTAGAACTATCAAAATGCATGGGGTCAGCTACAGGAATGAGTTCTTCCCCATTACATATATCAACTATCATATAACATAAATTGGCAACTCCCAAACTCATTTTCTTACTTCCTCAAGCCATGCTCTTTACATCTACTTCTTATTCGTCGGTATCTTTCCCACATGTGAAAACCCAACTCACGTCTCTTTCTCAACTTATTCAAGATACACGTAGCTTCTTAGCAGTGCACCCCATTTCATCTTTAATTTAGACCTGTCCCTTAATCTATCCAACTTCCTATATTGGCTACATATGGTTATATAATGTCTTATTTCTTAATTGCAAAATATTTTGAATCATAAAGCAAATGATAAGTCATATGTTTGTCACCTAAAAATTTGCGTTCAACTTCAAAGTATTCTACAATCAAATGGGAACAAGAAGCATTTGTCTAATTAAGCCTTCCAAAGTTCCAATAACAACATAGTCCTCCATTCCAAATATTTCATTTTCATCTTCCTAATTTATCTTTGTCAATCCCCTATGAAATGAAACCTTAGAAACTCACCAACAAAATACAAATGCTATTATAATTAAGCTCTTTTCTAACCAATTTCTACACAAACCTAAAAACAATGAATCAACACTCACCTCTTTTGCAGCGGTCGAGTAACATTTGGGTAGAAAAGATATCACAGGACGGTTCTGAAATAAACAAATTACAAAAATTAGCTCTAATTATCAAAAAAAATCCAAGAAAAAAACTCAAAATGCCCATTTTTTTAATTTACCGAAGAGGGGAAACCTCCACATGCTAGCTTTCTCCTAACGACTCCCAACATCTACGAGTTCAGGAACCAAGATCAGATCAGACACAAACTAGAATAAACGTGGGTCAAAATTGTTCGATGTATTTAGATCTCGGAGCGAAAAAAAAAAACCCTAGTCTTTTCTTTCTAAAATCGTAATAAAAAAATGAAGGAGGACAAAGATCGCTACCTGACCTGGAAATGAATTAGCTGCTTCAATATTTTCCTTTTCCCCCCTTCTTTGGTCTCCTTAACGACTCGGACTCTTCTTATATACTCGAGCTGCCACTTTTGCAGGTTGGCCCCTTTCATTTTAGTTTGTAACATTTTTTTATTGTGCAATTTTAATTGTACAAACTGGACATCAAAATTTTTTCTAATTTTGTACAATAGTGCAGATATATTACGATTGGCGGGTGAAATTGCATCTTTTTTTAAGTGAAGAAACGGAAGCTTAAGTAGGGGTGGATCCAGGATTTCAATTCGGGGGGCATACAAAAGATAGACGAAAAATTTTCTTAATGTAATTTTATTCACAAGAGATACATCACAACCCAAACAAAACGAGTAGAATAGTCAACGTCAATATCTTCAAAATATTTCAAAATAAGAAGAAAAAAATTATATAGAATGAATATATTTTATTTTTAAAGGATGAGATTTTACAGAAATCACCCTATCTTATTTTTCCCAAAATTTTGGGGGGGACCGTGGCCCCACCTGGACTGTATATAGATCCGCCCTTGAGCCTAAGTATCTAAAATAAGCAGTAAACATATCTAATTTTTCAATAAGTTTACCAATAAATTGATCCTATCAATTATAGACTTTGTTAAGAAAAGCTACGAAATGTTTGACGCAGGAGATTTTGTAAGTATTTAGCTATATCGGATCACATTTTTAGCAAGAGCTTTGCTACAGGGACTCAAAATATGAGACCAATAAGAGGGACAAGTGAGGTGTCCCCCTCCTATTGGATAATGAGTTGGCCATCATTAATGATGACCAACTCATTGGATAATGAGTTGGCCATCATTAATGATGACCAACTTATTATCCAATATGAGGGGGACACCTCACTTGTCCCCTTTATTGGTCCCATATCTATTTTGATAGCTCATTTGACCAAATAAATTGCCATCTAATGTCATATCTAATTTTCTCAAACTATTTTATAAAAAGCTTATTACTTCTACTTAAAACTATCAAAGTAGGATGCTTGTAATTTTTAGCCGGAAATAAAATTATACGTGTATATCGGTAAAGTAGTATTTAACTATAAGAACCGATAATGTAGACCACGCATATGACCAAAGGTTTACAAAATGTCTCAAAATTATGATCCTCCGTACAATTAGTATGTCAATCAGAGCACAACTTATATATTATAGTAATTAAAGAAAAATCATTTTTTCAGGATAATACATTAACTTCAAATTTAACAACTGGACCCAATAAAAATTAATATTGCCATGTGACCTCATACCCTACCTACTACTTTGTCACCTAAAAAATTGGTCTCATATGTTAACGATGGCCTCAACATATCCCTTGGCCATATGAAATATATTGTCCCTTGGATGCTCGAAAGGGTCATATGGAAGTCACTAACAATGAAAAAAGAAATGCCTCTCCGCTTGTTTATTTTCTTGGGTGAAGATGTTTGAAGCATCTCATCCTTATATTCTTCTCTAAACTTTATTTGGTTTGCATTTTGCCCCCCCATCTAAAATGGATCACATGATCATTTTAAGACAAAATTGCACTCGTTTTTACCATTATTCTTATAATAATTAGGAAAATATATATATCAATATAATTCAAAAGAAAATACAAACATTGGCTTCTCCTTCCTTAGTCCAAGTCAAAGTTCAGTCTTATTCCTATCCCTATGTTCGTTTAGAACTAAATATAGTTCTAATGAACTTTTGATGTATACATAATCTAAATTTGTTTGCAAACTCTAATAGAAGTATTTCAGTAAACAGAAAGTATATTGTCCTTTTTGACACACAACAGTCAAGAATGTGGCTAATCCTTACAAACCCATTAGATCAATAGTGCCAATCTTTATTCCTTCGTCTTCGAATTACAGCCTAGATATCAACAAAATCAAATTAAAATCCCTTGGTAGTCTAGGGAGGCAATTGCATGGCCAGAAAGGGGGAACAGAGGTGAGAAGAACTTCATGGAGGGTAATGGAACATAATTAACCAACATAAGGGCAATTTAGTCATTATTTAATTTTAGGTATTAACCTAGCTAACCGAGAAAAAAGAATATACTAGTATTCACAATACTGTGAAAAAGTTTAATACTCTCACTAAATGATCATTATATTTTATTGAACTTTATACCCTCATTATTTATGTTATTTGTATAAATATATCTGCTAATAATATTTTCTTCATCTTAATTTACACGTAATAAAGAATTATCGAATAAGAGCTCAAATGAAGATTATCTCGAGCCCAAAAGTTCTCTAATGAAGCCCAAAATTCTAAATTTAAATCCTATGACAAAGTCTAGAAGCAAAATCTTATCGCTCGTCACCTTCTTTGTCAGTATTTATCAATAACTTGGCCTGCAATTGGGCATTAACACAAATTTTAAAAAACCAAAAAAATCAAAGTCAAATTCATGCTAAGGATGGTCAACCACAAAGAAAAGATGTTATCTCCCAATCCGAAAAGCATAATTTAACATATTATATATAAAAATCACCTATTTTAATGAGACGCCATCTAGATTGGCAAATTACATAAACTTAATCAGTTGTAGCAAGTTATGGAAGAATATATAATCAATTATTTGAAGCACGAGCTAAATCCTAAGAAGCCAAAAATCATTCAAAAGAAGCCCAAGAGTTTTAAATGAATTAAATGCAATAGAAATGAAGCCCACAAAGTTCATCTCTCAACTATCAAATTAATGGTGTGTATTATTTTGAGAGGTCATATGGTTATGAGGGTTACTTAGGGCCTAACCCAAATTATGTGGTTGAGAGGATTACTTTTGGGGCCAAGATAAATCTAAGGGTTGTGAGAGATTTTTACTATTTATAAATAGAGGGGTAGAGTGACCGTTTGAGAGTGTGAAAATTTTTATAATTATCTCTATTTGGGGAGGAGAATTACTCTTAATTAAAAAGTCCTTTCAAAATTATAAACATTGTACGTAATTAATAAAAATAAAATTTCTCCATCTTTTAATTTTTTATTTCTTTGTTGATGGAGGTGAAGATTTGCTTTGAAGGGGCTACCTCTTTGTAACGTAAGTTTTTATTTTTCTCTTTTATTTTTTTACTTTAGAAATTCATGCTTTATTGATATGGGTGTATTTTCTTCCCTGTCTCGGAGACGTAGTGATCCTCATGGGAGCTTGAGGATAGATGATTCTCATGGTATCTTGAGAATAGAGTCGTGGTTGGAGCCAAAGAAGACGGCGAAAGAAGTCGGAAGAAGCGAAACGTAGAAGAACAGGGTAAACTACCAGTTCTCTGTCCGGTCGACCGCGACACACATGCCGGTCGACCTGACAACCCTGCAGGGCACAGGGAACAGAAAGTTCTCTGGCCGGTTGACCGGACCATGCTTGGCGGTCGATCGGATCGTGAATTCTAGATTTCCTGTTTCGTTTTGGATTCTGTTGTGACAGAGACTCCTCTTTCTTTTGGGCTTGTTTATTTACAAGATTGCCACCCACGTTGTACCTGATATAAATAGGTTATTGTAGGGTCTTAAAAAGGGAGACCTTAGGGAGAGAGAAATTCTAATAATTGTATTAGGGTTTAGAGAGAGAGTTGAGAGGTTGTTCTCGATTCTAGTGAGATTGTGAGAGAGGGATTGTAATCTTTTCATAGTCATAATGTAGAGAAGGTAATTTCCTTCGCCATACTGAATTGTTCTTGTGTTTTGGTCATCCTCTTCTCAACTCACCTTTTAGTAATTCTGCAACCAAAGGGTGCTCGCACGACAACTCGTATCAAGTTGGTATCAGGGCACCTAGATCCTGTGAAGGGGGAACCTGTGTATTGTCCTTACTCGCTCACAGTACAAGAAGCTTGGCGAGATCCTTATTTCCTTGGAGAGAGTCCAGAAATTAAGAAAGGAGAAGATGACTGAAGCAGATAATTCAGCAAGACTTGATGCCATGGAGAAGCAGATTGAGACGATCGGGATGACTCTCACTCAACTCTTGGGTCTCATCAATGGAGGAGATAAAAAGGAGGAATCTTCTTCGAAGGGTAAGAAGAAACTCGTAGAATCCGATGAAGAGAGCGAGAAATCTGATTCAGAGGGGGAGACTGAGATTGTCAAGACTGTTGGACATCAAGGGGGTAAGAATAATTACCAGAATCTGAAGATTGACTTCAAGGTTAAGATTCCTATTTATGATGGGGGTATCAATGTGGAGAAGCTTAATGATTGGATCGAACGTATGGAGATGTACTTCACTCTCTACGGATATTCGTCCAAGGAGAAGATAGTGTTCGCGACATTGAAGCTTTCAGGGCACGCGTTAACGTGGTGAAAATCCTATTGCAAACAGGAGAAGAAAGCGGCGTCGTGGAACAAGTTCAAGGAGCTACTTCAGAAACAGTTCTACCCAGTGGGGTTCCTTGAGGAGCATTGGTACAAGTAGTATGGCTTACACCAAAAGTTTAATCAGACCGTTTAAGAGTACACGACGGAGTTCCAGCAGCAGGCAATGGTTCTAAACATCACAACGGACGAGTACTCTATCTTCGTGAAGTACATGGCGGGTCTGAATGATTACATCCGGAAGGAGATGAAGTTGTTTTCGATTGAGACAATCGCAGAGGCGAGCGTGAAGGCCATTGCCATTGAGGGCAGGCAGAAGAAGAGCAACGAAGCAAAGGGAGATGCAAAGCAAGCTGGAGGCGAGTCTAGTGGTTCTCAGTTTAAGGAAGAGAAGAAGAAAGGTGATCCAGGGAAAACAGGACTGATTTGTGGTCATTGCGAGAAGATAGGGCACATAGCTGATCGGTGCTGGGAGAAGTATCATTATCTCAAGCCAAGGGGGTTGAAGAAGAAGGAGGCGAAAAAGGCGTACGTGATAGCTCAAGGTCCGAAAGAAGTCCCGGGGATGAAGGAACCCAATAGCAGTCTTAACCTTATGGCGGGGAAGCAAGTCACTAAAGAAGATGACGACCTGAGGGAGCAGCTCTTTGTGCTTAAGTTGCAAGTGAAGACCAGTTTGGTTGATGTCATAGT